GTCCAACATTAACCTTCAGGGTGGATATAGCTCGCTAGCAGCCTCGCACCGAGGACCTATCCACGTCATCCTTTACCCAGAATGCTTTGTGTGACAATAAAATGGCTCCATCCGTGTTAAAATATATTTTTAAACTTTTAGTTTAAAAATGATAAAAACTAAACAGACTACAGTGTTTTTACAGTCTTTATTTTACAGTTAAAACAGATGTTTATTAAATAAAGTCTAATGTTACAACTAATCAGGGATCCCTTTAAAATCAGGAGCAACTGAATGAACTGTGAACCTATCGCTGCCTTTTATAGCAGTTTTAAACTAAGATCATCTCTTGTCTCTGCAATATCTAGAAAACTGTTATAGCCAGTTTGGTGTATACCAATCAGCTAGCTGTGTTAGCAGCTTTCAAGTGGATTATCTCCGAAAGGTAATCAGTTGGAGATGCTCATCCAATGACGACTTTCTAAAAGTTTCGTTAACATTTGGTCAGGGGTTCTAAAGATAATTTGCAAATATAAATAGGGTCGACTCTGACAGTTAATGTCAAAGTTTCAAACAGTGACGTCACTCAATGCGTAGTGCTCAAAGTATGTTTTCAGGAGGACTACCAGCCACTACCATACCAAATTTTAGACCAAGATCTCGTGGTTATAGTATTTTTTTATTTGCTTAAATTGCATAGTTGTGGCGGCCATGTTGAATTGGACAGACTCCAAAGGTTAATCAAAGACGTACACTGTGTGTTTCATTACGATCCATCCAGTGAATTATGGGATTTTTTTTTGCAAACATAACAACAGATGAACGCACTCGTGCAATTTCTCGATTACCCTCTTTTCACAGCAGTGGAAGATGTAAAAACATTGTGTACAACTGTTTGCTTTGCATCAAGACTTTCAAATAAGCAACGGTCAGAAAGAGACACACTGATGTGGTGAATTATCAGCTTTTATAGAGTTAATTAGTTGAGCTGCAGAATACTGACAAGCTTCTGTTGGTTATAAATCTGCTACTAATGTCAGTGAAGCAGAGAGAGTTCACTCTCAGGGGTTAGGAAACAGTTACTGAACATTCAGCTCAAGTTTGTTCCTCCTCCACACTTCACCTGAAGACAGACCTGTAAACTATGGGCTGCCGTTTATAAAGATACACCGTCAAAAATTACCACCAGTATTTTAGTTTTATTTAGCCTTTTATAAGAAAAAAAGAACAGATTTTTTTTTCAAAGTCAGT